AGACAGACATACAGGCAGACCACCAGTACCAATCACACTCCATACATATGCTTTCCTGCTAGAAGCCGCAAGCACATCCAGTCTTTGTTTAATGGCAAATATAATCTGCCTCACTTCCTTTAACAGAAAACATTACAAACAACATCTCCACTGTCAATCACCTCTGTTCCCGTATTTTACAGTGACACCACCGCATACAAACCGGTTTAAAAAGCTCTCAACACAACAGACGTGTCATAGAAACGCAGAGGGCTTAATGTGTGCAATGTTCAAACTGTCAGCAATGTGAAGACAGACAAAGACAAAGCCTAAAGCCAAGCATTCAACAACTGTCAGTTCCTAGGCGAGGCCCCAGCGCTGTCATTTTGCACTCTCCAAACACTTGAGATGGAAACTAAAATAAAAATCGAACCGCGTTGACTTCCTGTGAAGCAGATGTTTCTGTGATTGCATCACAAAACTGGGCAACGCATCTCAACCATAATAACAGAGTGTAGTTTAGCTCTAGTTTCACGGCAGCAGCATCGCATCGTTCTCTTCGACGACACCTATGGCGATAAGTAGTAATTGCAGGTGGGCAATTGGCAGTTGGTTTACTGGCAGCAGAGAACTGAAAAAGCTGTTCGCACAAATGAGCTGAAGAGCGAGCTGTTGTGTCAGCGCCGTCCACCCTCTCTGGCAGAACTGCCGCTGTGCGTGATGGAAAACGCGTCGCTACCTGTTCACCGCTTGGGATTTTTCCCGGGAATGTCGACACCCAGTTCGTAATATTCATAATAATGCAAGGGCTTTCATCAGTGGGCCATAGGCTAAATCCCCATTGTGTTACCTCATTCGGTGATAGATAGTGACTTAAGAGACATTTAGTTACATAACAATCTTTGAGATTATTACTTTAAAGCTTTACTGCCATTGCATAACTATTGGGGCCTCCGCACATAGTCTCTGGTGAGAGCCATCTCTACAGCAGCAGGGTGTCTGTGTCTTGCTCAAGAGCACTGGCAGGACTATTAAAGAGCCTCTGTTTTACCAGGTGTGATGTTTCAGAATCTACCCCAGTGGCGTCGTTAGGCCTGTTTTAGGGGGGCTGAAGCCCCCCTAAAATATTCTTAAGCCCCCCTAAATAGTTTGGTGTTTGTATTTTAATTGTATTTTTTTTTTTTTTTTTTTTTTAAATAACAAAATGCCGACAAATTCAATATAAAGCGGCCAGCATCATAAATAATCATATAACCTGTCATTAAGGACTTATCACTTAAGGTGATCATAAATCTGTCAGTTTCCCTTCACTTCGCAGTAGGGTGGCCAATTCATCCGGCTTTAGGCCGGACTGTCCAGGGTGTGTTACGATCGCGCGCACCCCCCCCCCCCCCCCCGCCGGTCGTAGGTCCGGGGTGTGTTACGATTGCGTGCACCCCCCCCCCCCCCCCCCTGTGCATCTCCTTGGGGCTAAGCCCCCCCTGTCCTTAAAACCTAGTGACGCCTCTGATCTACCCTCTAGTGACATCACAAGTGTCCACCCAGATGTACGACAGATCAACCAGCCTACCAATTCAAAGCTCACACCAATTCAAAGCCAGGTGTGATGATTCCCCTTTCAGCATTTTCTTTGCAAAACAGGAAACAGGGTGACTGTTAATTATTAATCTCACATTATCTACCACACTGAGCCACACACAGGCCTACCAGTGTAGGGGAACTATTTTTTGTGTTTTTTGGGGTGAGCACTTCTTTTAAACCACGTGTGGTTTAAAATAAGTATGATCATTTACGTTTAAGCAACATCCTCTCACATATTTGTGGTGGTTAGCCCCTCCTAAATATTTTATTGTAATTTTCAATTTGACTTTGTGGTCAATTCTTTACTCTCTGCCAATCTTGTGAAAATGCCATGTTGACCATTAAGCTAAAATGTGAAGTGTACTGTAAACAGCACTTGTACAAACCAAATGTCAAGCTTAAAATAAAATACAAAATACACTCAAGGCCCTTTCTCTTTCCATCTTCACTTGACGTTTCTGGCTGACCTTCCGCTTGTTCCACTGGTCTTCAAGTAGGTCAGAGCAGAGCCACTGGGGGCATCCTACACAACATCCTCCTGAACATTAAGAAACACTAGACAGTATCTCATCTGGGTTCCTTTCTATGAGGAAGTCTGCTCTCCTCCTCAGAGCCAGAGGTCAGGCCATCGAGTCCTCAAACATCTCCGCCACTGCCAAGAGGGCTGGGAGGCAGAACGCTTAACATTTTCACGTCGGGCCTTCTTAATGCCCATGGACTTCTCAGGACTACTTCAAGGTCAGGTGTTAAAGGTCAAACTCGTCCTCAGGGGTGGACTATCGCCTGTTTTCTACTAAAGGAGGATAAAACAACTATTTCCTGTTTTCTATTGAAGAGGATACAATACTCTCCTGTTTTCTACTAAAGTGGATCAAAGAATCCCTCTAGTTTGAGCTTCAGTGGCTCGAGTTGAGTCAGATGTTTTTAACCACTCCAGAGCAATACAGGAACTACCCCCCATTACATGTAGGATCATATTTCATAAGGAACAACTGGTTCCAGGGTTTTGAATACTAGAGGTCAACAAAAGTAGTTGAACTTTGTATATAAGCCCTGTGGAGACAGGCATTTCCTCCATGCAGATAATCTTCATGTCACATATCTGCCTGCAATGCTGTTAAGGGCTTAGCTTGTGTTTTGTAACTAGTCTATTGATACAAAAAAATAAACATTGGTTTAGTTATTTATACACAGTATAACAGTACGTTTTGAGGTATTTAGTTTGTTCACTCTGTGGTTCCTGTTTTGCTGGATATTTTGAGGTTAAGAAAGGCTTGGTGTGAGGTGTGTGTGTGTCTCTTCCTTCTGTTTCACTGACACTTCCTTTTTAATAGGTCTTGCCACACACCACCATGTCTTCGCTGGTCTTGCATTACTTACTACAGTAAGTAGGCTACATGCAACATATTTTAGCTCTGCATGCACCTCCACAGGAGGTGCACAGGTGCAAATTAGCTGTTTAGCTAATCCTGGTATAGAACCTGTTCTATACATGGTCCCTGTTAACAAAAAACAATAAACCCTGGCTGCTATATCCATGGATGGATGCATCAGCATCAGGACCACTAACTGTGCCAGCAGCACCACTGACTTCATATTAAGAGCGACCTGCTGCGGTGGACTCAGACTCATGGTTGTAAACTCAAGCAGCAACTAGAGAGGCAGCCATTCCTCGCTAATTGCCATGCAAACAATTAATAAAAAATGACCTCGGTCTGCTAAATATTTTTTGCTTCCAGGCGGATCTTAAGAGAAACGAAAGTTGTGTGCCCATAGCAACTGGTAAAAAGAAAAGTAGATTTGATAAAGTGGTTGGAGGCATGTCACACTGAGTTTATGAAAAGGGGCTGTTTGTCTCTTTTTTATTTATTTTTTTAATAATCGGCCTACTTACTCTACCACATCCTATTGCATTCTCATTAACATGTCAATTATCTCAAAAGCGAGAAAATTAACATTTCATTGTTCTTCAACGAAATTAAGAAATTAAACAAAAATCTGGAAAGGCATTTTGGGGCAGAATTGGCCCGCCCAGGGCCATGTTTGTAGCCGTTATCTGACTGGTTAGAGGTTCTCCAATAGCCCCAAGTCCCTCTGGTCACATGAGGTTTCAGTCATCAGACAATCCATTGTTTGACAGAAATCATTGACCCCCACAGTGACGGTATAGGACACTGCTCAGCTCCCTCTGCAACCATGTACCAACATTTATTTTCAAGGGAGGCAACGGTCTGAGGCAACATGCTCATTTATGGGTTCGGTTGAAAAGGAAAAAAACGCAGTATTTACTGAACCAGCTGAGTCATTCATCTGATTTAAAGAGGCACTGGGAGGAATACTCTTGAGCACTACTTCTGTTGTTAAACCAGTGAGTAAACGCCGCCATCTAGTGGTGTGAAGACATACAACTCAAGCCAGCAGTGTGTTCCATACACGACACTTTATTTCCAAACATTTCAGTCACATTTTCCTGGTAAAGCATTTCATTCTTTAAGGATAGATGTACCTATGTTACCCAATTACCTGCAAAGTGCACTTAGTAAGATTCAAGTGAAAATAAAAAGCTTTGATTGAAGTTACTTTATTTACATTTACTACAGCAGTTACAGTACTGGCTAATGGGGGGAAATAAACAATAACAGATACAAACGACAACACGGATACAATCAAAATTAGAAGATTTTAAACAGCAAATATTACCATATTTTATTTCATACAGAACATTTAATTGACAACTTTTGGCCGACAAAGTGAAAGATTAACGAATATTTCCAAATTAAAAATGGACTAAAGAAAGGAGAGGGCGCCGGTGGGCGGGGTTCATGTGGCGTCGCTTCACTTCCTCCACAAAATGGCCGCTTACTTCTCAATCTGACGCAGACTTCTCTGGTCATATGACTAGTTCAGTGGCGGGAAACTGTAAGAGATGATGAATATTTGTTGTTACTTTTCCACAGTAGTGAAACTAGTGCAGAGTGGCGAACGATACTCACAATTGAGCTGGAAGTAGCGACGCTCGCAGAAAGACTTCTGGTTTGGGATCCAAAGTTGGATTTCTGATCGCTCTCCTCCGAGATGCTCGCCCCAGGACACGCACTGAGAGGACAGACACAGATTAGTACTTGAAGAAGATGCTACTGGACTTCATACACCCACACACTTTCCCCATTACCTGCCAGCTTGTCGAGAGAGGCCTGTGGCCTCGGGGAAGGAGAGTTGGGAGGAGGTGATGGAGGAAGTGAGCTGGTCGGGGAGGGTGGAGCAGGTGGTGTACCTGGGGGAGATGCTCCTCCCCGGAGCAGGGAACCCAGCAGCGGAGCGAGGTCTGGCGACCCCTGCCAGCTCTGAAGGGGGGTCGGAGGAGTCGAGGCTGTCCAGAGACTCATACCTGAGGGGGAGAAGGAGTAGAAGCATTCTGATTGGCTCTCATATTAAGAGGGGCAGGATAGTCTTGTGGTTAGGGTGTTCGACTCCCGGTCGAAAGGTTCTGGGTTTGATCCCCAATGTCCGCAGTCTACCCTGTAGGCATCCCCCTACCAACTAGCAGGTTACATTAATTTGAGGAAAGTATATAGAAATAGAGTGGGGCTAGAACCCGACCTCCTGAGGGAGACTAGAACCAGAACCCTACCTCCTGAGGGAGACTAGAACCAGAACCCTACCTCCTGAGGGAGACTAGAACCAGAACCCTATCTCCTGATGGAGACTAGAACCAGAATCCTACCTCCTGAGGGAGACTAGAACCAGAACACTACCTCCTGAGGGAGACTAGAACCAGAACCCTACCTCCTGAGGGAGACTAGAACCAGAACCCTACCTCCTGAGGGAGACCAGGGAGACCACACTACCTCCTGAGGGAGACTAGAACCAGAACACTACCTCCTGAGGGGGGCTCCAGTGGAGAGGGGCTCCTTGAGAGTGCTTGCCCTGCGCTGGCGGATCCAGCTGTTGTCGGTGAGCAGCTGGGTCCTCTTCTTCATCTCCTCCAGGATCTGCTGCCGGTCCTGCTCCGCCTTCGATGCCTTCGCCACCTTACTCGGCTTCCCGGGGCTGCCTGTTAATCACACAGCCGGGGGGGGGGGGGGGGGGTCATGTCTACGACTACACGAGGTGACAGACGAACGCGGTCATGATGAGGCGAGACCACTGACCTTTGGGCTGCCTGTGGAGGGAAGCCAGCGTCGGCGTGGACTTTGACTTCCCCCTTTAAAAGGAAAACGCAACATTTAGTTTTTTAGCTTTTATCAAACGCGCCATAAACATTTCGAACCAGCACGCAAAGCAGACATGAAAAATTTTGCATTACACGAAAAACCTGCTCCCATGTTAATCAATCAGCAGACAGCAGACAACTCCTGGTCTAAAAAAAAAAAGCGTCCAGTAGATTATTTTGGGCCTTCAAGTTGAAGAAGCATGTCCTTAAGGAGCAGGTAGGGGGTTAGGACATCTTGCTCATCAATGATCCCACTGTCATCACTATGAAGCTGAAGAAGACACTTACCTGTCAGCAGAACAGAGCGGGGAAAATCCACCAGAACCAGATGGCCTGAACCTCAGCAGCAGAACCAAGAGAAACCACGCAGGAGAACCAGATGAGAACGACAGGAAGCAAACAGAACCAGAGGAACCCAGGAGAAGCAGATCAGAACGAGAGCAGCCATAAGAGGCAGTAACACACAGCAGTTATTCAACACGGCAGAAAAGTACAGCAACACCAGAGGAGCAAAAGACCAACTGCCAAGGTTGAACTAAACACTGACCATGCGATCAGGCTTTTAGGATTCAATGTACTGTCAATGAAACATTTTGAAAGCTACACTTGAGATTCTGGCGTAATTGAAATAGAACAAAGACTGCTAATTAATGAGGAAATGAGATACTTCAGATCAAAATCATGCAGCTGTAAAAATTGCTTACAGAATGAAAAAATATTTGATCATGGCAGTCAAATATTTGTTTTAAATGTTTGTCTGAGCTCTCAGGGCTCTGCGTTCGTTCGGCACCACAGCAACGCAGAAAGGGGGGGAAAAAGGTGAAAAGGTGTATTTACAAGTCAGGCTCGGCCAGCTTGTCCTTGTCCTCCGCTTCTACACTGTGAGGCTCCGACCCGGTCTCTGTACCCAGGGGTCCGACGGCAGCCGGGTCTGCAGTCTGGGATCTGACGGGAGGAGGGTCTGCGTTGTGGACCCTGACAGAACCCGTCTCTGTGTTCTGGTGTGTAACAGAACTCTTCTCGGCCTGCCCAGTGAGGAGCTGGTCTGTAGACGGTGGGTCTGGTCGGGCTGGCAGGTCTGACAACACCAGGGTTACCCCGCCAGTCCGGCCTCTCCTGTGAAACACACAACATGTTGACTTCCTGAGAAGTGTTTGTGTGCTAATGTAAAGCACAAGTGTGGGTAAAGTGAACACCAACATCACTTTGTTAAAGTGTTCTGGTTGACATTAGTATTATACTAGTAGCATGCTGACCTCCGACCCCCTCGGCCCCTCCCCCGCACCCTCCTCTGCCCTCCGCCACTCGGCCTGCAGCCGCTGCTGGTCCCGCTGATGACGCTCCTGACGCAAAGCAAACGCACCCTCGTCAGCACAACATAAAAATCCACCCTTAACATATCAACACACATCCTTATCAACAACCTCAAGGACACACGCGAGAAGCACCTAGTGAAGAACACACAAACAAAAACACACATGACCTGATTAACACAAAGTAATCCTAAAGTGGTCTGACAGGCCGCCTCTCCAGGCTAACCAGCATCATGTGCTAGGAGTGGTGCGCTGCAGTTCCCCTCTCTGACCTGGCGGTGTCGCTCCTGCTCCTCCTGCCAGCGCTCCTGGCGTTTGCGTTCTTCTTCGTGGTCCCAGGACCAGTTGGAGGCCGATGGGTTCAGAGACGGAACCTGAAGCTGGACACACACACACACACACACACACACACACACACACACACACACACACACACACACACACACACACACACACACACACACACACACACACACACACACACACACACACACACACACACACACACTCAAAGAGCCTGGAACTAACTAATTCAAAGACACTGAAATGAGTCTGAGAACAATCAAGACTACAATCAATATTTGCGTAACTGGGCAGCTCTAGGAATCACAACACAGGGTTGTTATATATCTTTTGTATAAGTGGTAGTCAGTGCATAAGTCCTGGTAAAATATAGCATGGAGATTAACAACAGGTTTCATTGTTGGGTTAAAGATGGTTTAGTTCAGGTATAGTTAGAGATAGCGAAGTTTAGGTATTAGGTTAGACATGGTTACGCTTAAGAATTAGGTTAGAAAGGCTCAAGTTTAGGCACTAGGTTAGAGATGGTCATGGTTAGGTCAGGAAAGGATTTGTGTAAAAGCAGTGCATTTTGGGAGGTGTACTTAAACACACAATTCACATGAAAATAAACTTCTGGAATAAAAGTAGAAAGATTTAGTCCAGGTGGTACAGCCATATGGTTTCCTAGCAAGTTTGCAAATGTCATTATACAATATACGCTTTGAGCATTTATATATATTCAATGTACTGACCTTCAAATATTGTGTGACCCTCATTAAAATACAACCACCCATTCAGTGAAATTCTACATTAAAAATCACATTTAGTTTGTAACTTACATCAGATATCGCAGATTCAGTGCCTCCTACAATGGGGGTACAGACAGAACAGTGATAGAACCGTGCTGATTATCACAAAATGGACACCAATGTAGGGTTGGGCGATGATGGAAAAATGCATTATCACGATAATTATGGGTTATTTTACACAATATGCTTATGAATTCTAAACAGTTTGACTGAGGGTCATTACATTAACTTACATTACTAGTTGTCCTTTCTCACTGATGTTTCAAACCTCATTTGATCATTTTAAGGGCATGCCTTCTCGCCATAATGAATTTAGATTATATCACGATAAGTCGAAATCTTTTCGTCTTGATGATACAATGCCACTCAAACGATAATATTGAATTGTTGCCCAACCCTACACCAATGTTTCACATCTTCAGAGCAAACAAAGACCATGCGGCAAAGCAACACACACACACACACACACTTTACCACAGAGATAGACCCAGGAGCTGAAGCCAGCAGGTCCTGAGACGGGGGGGGGGGGGGGGGGGGCGGGGGGCAGGGGCGGAGCAATGTATTAAGAAGGTGAGATATTATGGTTGCCATGGTAACCCCTTCCCCAGCCCATAATGAAAATGCACTGCATTCCTGAACTTCAGCAGCACAGTGAAACTAATCATGTAATAATCATCTTCACCAAATATGGAAACTTGGCCAACGTAGTTTTCATGTTTTCTTACTTAACTTACTTCCTCCCCTATTGAAAATGTGTCATGGCTCAAATTCAACATCGTAACACGTAATAGACGTTACGCTTTTCTTCCAACAAGCAGAAAAAGATTGCGCACAACAGACGTTGCATTTCAACTTCAAACTGTAGACTTGCAGATTTTTAGCCAAGCCAAGAAATACATTTGGCAAGCCTTGGAAGCAGCAGCCATTTTAAGCCAACAAGCTGCACAGAGCCCTTCGTCGTCTTTTACCTTTCACATTAAAAAACTCTGCTCTTCGCCTCTGATTTCTCAGTACAATTCGTTCATGCTCTACATAAACAGGAGGAGGACAATGTTAGGCAGGACCTCAGAAACATGATTTACTTCAGATGATCAGCATCTAAATCTAAAACCGATCTAGAAGGACCGCGTCGATGCGTGTAGCGTAGACATCTGGTTACCTTTGATACTGGCGGTCTTTTGGGTCTTCTCGTCAAATTCTCCGTTCCTGGTTTGGATGTCCACCCCCTGAGGTGGGAAGGAGAGAACTGTCATTTGGACTTGGAGCCACAACACACACAAGATTTCAAATTTATATTTTATCACCTTACTGTAACTGTTTTATATTTTTTACTCATTTATTTCTATCCTCCATTTTCCTTTATTATTTTTCCATCCTGAGCAGAGCACCTGTGACGGGAACAATTCCCTCAAGCTCAATAAAGTTACGAGAGTGAATGTGAACGAGACGTTGCCCGGCTGCCCTCTCACCTGGGCAGGCAGGTGGGGAGCGGTGGGCGTGGTCATGATGTCGGTGTGGGCGTGGCGCTCAGGACAGCCTATCAACATGGGAAGATCAGCACAGAGATTGAGGACCTTCCTGGTCCCGGCTGCACCGGTGCGGCAACGGTCTGCTGGCAACAACCCGCCGTCAGAAACGCTGGGCGGACGGCCCCGTGTTTCACAAACTTCATGTGTCACAATAAACAGCAGAACATGACATGAATCGATTCATTTTGAATAACGTTAATGGTCCTCGTTTGCCGTCAGTCGATATGGCTCTAGTGTGCCGGGACGACCCCTAGTAGGAGTGAGTCCCTCGGGTTGGAAACCTCTGCACCCTCGCTAAGGCTGTTGAACGCCCTTCCTTCATGTCAAACACGACAGTACTCAGTCAACGGCAGCACATCCAATGTG